AAAAAAAAAAAAAAAGATCATCTTACTTATCTCCAAAACGTATTAATTTTGAATAAATATTATAAAGCATATGTGTAAGGGTCCATTCAGTAAAGCTCTTCTGAGCACCACCTGGTATCGCTCCAAGGAACCAAGGCTGAGCTTCTGCAGAATTGGTCTTGGCAAGAGCCCACACTCCAGGTGCTGCTACTGCAAGGTCACACTGACTCAGGAAGTAGCAGATAAAGACCCAGAGTGAATACTGGGAGGTCTGACTTCCAAGCTCTCAAGCCCTGCTAGCCCCAATGATGTAGACTGTCCTAGGAAGGAGGCCTGGGCAGGGTGAGGTGGAAAAAAAAACCCCAAGTGATTCTCAGCAGCAGGGCAGTTTGAGAAACTTTACTATAAACTGCTGTGTTACGTGCCCCTGTAACTGCTATCCAGGGGTACTCCTCGGGCCTATGGCATAGATGTTTCTTAAACAGTTATTCAGAATTGCCATAATCTGACCCCAATCCTTCTAACAAGATTCTAAGTGACACATGGGAACTCTGAGGTCTGAGAGACATGAAATACTCTTTTTATTTACTCCCCTCCCCCAATGTGGCTTTCTGTCTCTTGCAAAAATTCCCTCCTGTTAAATCTCAGAGAGAAAAATCAACACTGAGCTCTGTCCATAGCATGAGCGTTCTCAGTGATACCAAAGCCCTCTTGTCCTTTCTTCACGCAGCCAACCGTTACTCTCTTCTAACACGAAGGCGGTTTTCCTGAGCATCAAAGAATAAGCAGTGACTCCCTCCGAGCTCTTGAATGGAGTGCCACCTAACCCGTTCTCACCTTCACAGGTCCTGCCATCGCTTCTCAGCACACGGCCGACCCCGCACTCACAGCGGTAGGAATTTTTGAGGTTTACACAGACCTCACTGCAGCCACCGTTGTGCTGCTCACATTCGTTTTCATCTGGAGAAGAGAAACGGCACCATTTCCATATTGCTGAGCAAGTCAGCTTTTTCTCAAGCCCCTGAGCAGAATATCCACATCGTTTCAGATCCTGTTGCTGTACCGTCCACATCCCAAGTCCCCCACTATGGTCCAGTATAATCACATCCGCCAGCCTGATCTCCTTAACTACGTTATTTGTTCAGCTGCCCTCTGCTGAGTGGAAGGCACCTCATTGCTGCCAATTCTCTCCTCTAAGGGCAAAACTATGGAGAAATGAAGTTCCTTTTGTACCTGGGTGTACCTATTTGTTCTGATGAATTTCATTTTCTACAATGAGTTTCTGAAACATTGCTAAATATATACAAACTTAAAAACAAATGTGTTTTCAATCCTTAAAAGAGCTTATGGGCCAGTCGGTGGTATGGTGGTTAAGATGGCTAGATATTACATGGCCAACAATGCAGTTCAAGTCCCAGGCTCGGCAGCTTGAAAAATACACTGGGTATGTGTGTGCACATGCCTGAAAGGAGAATGGAGGAGAAAGGATTGCAGGCCACTACCCTAGGGGTGCTTTTCCACTTTCTCTCTCTATCTGTGTCTCTTTCTCTCTTTCTGGCAAGTGCACATGCTCTCTAGTAAATTTAAAAACAAAAGAAAAAAGAAAATTGCATAAGGAAATAGCTGATAAACTTTTTGTGACGCAGTTATATGAATGACTGCTCTTAAAATCTGTTTTAAAAATTGGAATATTCTCACACTGCACATAAGCAATGACTGTTGACCTTTTAAAGAATTTGATGAAAGATAAGGACTTTTGCCATAAAAATGCACAGTTGGCGGAAAGTGTCTGTCCCCTTTCTTCTATAAACAAAGGGAAGTTTAGGAGCTAAATCTGTCATGGTCCTCGGGGACATGGTCCCCATGAATGACACCAGCTACATTATGGGTACTCCCTAGCCAAATGTGGCTACTAGAGCAGACAGCAGAATTCTAGACTATCCCTAATGACAACCTAAACTTGGATTAGGGCTTTACTCACACACTAAAAAGGGAGCATACTATTGTAAGTGTTCAGAGTCACAGACTGGGAAAAGGATGGCGCTCTGAGGCAGGAAGACTTGTAGATTTGTCCCTTTGATCCTCGTAGCCTGTTTGTACCTCATGATTAGTTACTTACCAAAGCATGTCTGCCTGTCGGGGCCCAGCACAGTTCCTGGAGAGCATGTGCACGCATTGGTGTCTGCGCAGTCGCCATGGCAGTCCTCATCACAGATGTCGTAAAAATCTATGGCAGGATAAAGATGACCTTTTGTGAGCGGTGAGGATCATAGGACACTTATTCTTATTCTTTTCTTTTATTCTTTTATTCTTTTTTTTTTGGAGAGGTTTTTGCTATAGGGCACGTGCGCTCGCCAGACAGAGAGAGACAGAGAGACAGAAAGCAAGAAATCACCCCCCATGGGGGATGGCCACGCCGCAATCCCTTCTCCTCCATTCTCCTCTTGGGATCTTAGGCACACACACACACACACGCCCGGCGAGGACACTTATTCTTGAGACAATCTCTTGAGTGGAATTATGAGGTACCAGTTACTGGCCACCATCATAACTCAATGGTGAAAGGTAAACCACCCACGGGCTTCTGTCATTTAGAGCAAGGGTTCCCAACTTCAGATCTACATGCCTTGGGATCATCATAGAGTCTAAAATCTCACCAAACATGAGTTATAGACTAAGTAAGTGCTAGGTCCTACTTGTCTAGGTACTCGATTTTGAAAATATACACAGATTTTGATGGGACTGAATACAACACAGAACTTCATTTGAAAGTATTACTGATTTCAAATACCTTTTCCTGTTACTATGCTACCATAGGGATGTTTGATTATCTGTGTATCTAGGTATCTTTAAAAGGGATCCTCCATACTTAAAATGGTTGGAAATCATTATTTAGATATCCTAACTCAACATTTCACTTTCTAATGTTTTGTCTGAATGGAATAAAGACAAAATAAAATAGAACTGATCAAAGACCTTGCTCCATTTTCTTTCTATTTCTTCAGGAGTTTCTTTTTTAGAAATTCTAAGAACAGATCTCAAAATCACAATCTGGAAGTATCTTTGGGCCCAGAAACAATGTTCATTGGACTCCAAGATACCACTGTCACCATAGCTGAATTTCATATGGCACTTTTCTCTTTGACTCGATCTGTGACCTTGTGGAAGGAAAAAGAACACAGGAAGGTACTCACGACCACAGTAGACATGAAAGCAGACACTGGGTTTCATCAGGCGATACACGTAGTAGCCTCCAGGGCAAGCTTTGACCTCTACCGTAGTGTTCCAGAGGCAGCAGTTCCCATTGAAGCTGGCACAGGCCTGGCGTTGCACAATGCCATCACCTTCTAGAGGGTGGCTGCCATTGAGCCAGACAGGTGCATGGGTTCCACAGTGGTTTTCTGGTATGCAGAAGGTGGGCATGGCATCTCCTGCCATGCCTGTGAAGCGGTACCATTCCCCATCCACGTGGTTATCACACAGAGGTGAACCTTGAGACTCATCGAATTGGTGGTCAGTGTTCCTCCAGGGCTCATTCAGACTGATGTAAGCAGAACAAGGGTCCAGGGCTGGGAATGAAAAGGACATTTCAGGAGACCCTCATGGTTTCAGATCACAGTGCCAACAGTCTGTCTACCTTTTTGGTCTTGCATTTTTCACTTTTTTGAGTTCAGGAAAGAAATTATGTAAAGTTCTCAAAAGCAGCTGCTTAAGATTCTTCACTTTGATTTAAACATGTTTCACAAATGCCCTTTACAAATTATTTCATTTCAAACCTATTTAAGGTTTAGTGTTAGCATAGAATTCAACTATTTTATCCAGAGAGTCATTTGATGGGAGAATAGTTGTTCAGATCAAGGGAGGTTAGGATTACGGTCTCACTAAATACTAGTCAGATCATATTTTGAATATTGTGTTCATATATGGAAGCTACATTTTTCTTTTCTTTTAGGTTTTAGCCATAGGGCATGTGTGCTCACCACAGAGATGGAAAGTGAGAAATCACTTCCCAGGGGAAATGGCCATGCTACAGTCTCTTCTCCATTCTCCTTTTAGGATTTTGGGCATGCACTCACACATGCCGGCATGATCCTCAATCCACTGGGTCCGGGACTTGAACTGTGTTTGGCCTTGTGGAAATCCAGCACTTTAACTACCTCACCACCTGCTGGCCCTCCTGGAAGCTGTATTTTACCAAAGTAATTGGTAAACTCATTCAGAAGTTGACCCCTTAGACCCAAAAATTATTTACTGGAGAATAAGTTGAGAACTATAGTTTGGAAAAAAGAAGACTGAAGAAAACACATACCAGTTTTCAAAAATCTGGAACAGGCTTGTGGAAGAAGAATTAAATATTCCATTACAGGAATAAGAACAACGGTTAGGGGAGAGCACCGTTCCATTCACTATCTAGTCATGGACGAGGCTGTATCACACTGTGCTTCATTTCCTATCTTTGGAAATGCTCAAAAAAAAAAAAAAAAAAAAAAAGAACTTGGATAGCCATTTGTAAATAAGATCATAGATAGAACTTTGCATTAGTGGGAATTTTGACTTGATAAAGAATGTGAAAAGCCTGGGACCAGCAGTTAGCATAATGGCTATGTCGCTGGACTCCCACATAGTCGACCACGGTTTGTGTCCCGGACCTGGTGGCTTAAAACTTACGCCAGGCGCGTGTGCGTGTGTGCCCGAGATCCCAAGAGGAGAATGGAGGAGAAAGGATTGTGGCATGGCCATCCCCCCTGGGGGTGATTTCTCGCTTTCTATCTCTCTGTCTCTCTCTGTCTGGTGCGCGCACGTGCCCTATAGCAAAAACCTCTCAAAAAAAAAGAATGTGAAAAGCCTATTTCATGGAAAAGGAAAAGGCTTCAGACACAAGGCAGCTGCTTTGAAATACTCAGTATATGGCAAGTAGTTACTGGAGACATTGGTACATATTCCATCAGTTTATTGAAAATATCAAGAATATACTTTGTGTATTCACAACTAGCCAAGGCATCACTATCCTAGATATACTGCAAAATTTCTTTTTTAAGCAAGCACTTTTCTTTTTTTGGTGGGGGGGAGAGGCTTTCGCTATAGGGCGCGTGCGCTCGCCAGACAGACAGAGAGAAACAGAGAGACA